ATTGTTGTAAGCTTTCCCACTTCCCCTATATACCCCTATGTTCGAAAATGAAAAACTTAAATAAATAAAAACAATTTGACAACATTTGGCTAAAGTTATTTTATGTGTTAAATAAGAGAGCTAAGATGCATTTTTCATGTGTTAAAACACTTAAACCCCTACCCAACTTTCCTAAGGTTTTAACTCAAGACCTCAACATAGAAGCTCAAACTCTTAAAACTACTTGGACATCCCCTGGAGGAGCACTATAATTAGTGTATGCCGGTTAGCACTTACCTTTTTTTTGGCCATCCAAGAGCTGAGATTTCATTTCAAGCTAAAATAAAGTCATCACAAACTGAAGAGAGAACAAAATTAAAACAAACTCTTTTATGGTAAAATTAAAATAAACTTAAAAGCTAAAAAAAAATCTGCACTAGAAATAAGACAAGAAACAAAACAAACAAAATAGAGGGAGGGCGCCAAGACCAGTGCCACAAAGGGAACCACAAGGTCCACAACCCCTAGCTGAAGGGGACTATCAATAAGCTTGAGCCTGCATCACCAAATGACTGCAGAAAAGTTGAACTAAACAAATATTGAACAGACACCATAACCAAAGCGGATCCACAAGCAGCATGATAGCTGCAGTAGCTTAAAGCAGGAAATGAATGATCAATTACACCCAACCATAAGATTGAAGCACTCTCCACAAAATCAGAAAGAACTATAGGCTACCATGTTCATCTTCTTGGCACCTGGCCTTTCATGCTACAGGTTGGCCTCAAAAATGGCACTTTTTAGCTTTGCCTTGTGTAATTCTTTTCAACATAAAATTCTTTTTAAGCATTTACTTATTGCATGTAAAATACTACTAGGCATCAAAATCGGATAATTATCATAAATTCGAGGACTATTCTACATAAATATCAAATTAAAAGTAGTACTAGTAAGTAGAAACTAATTACCTAAGGCTGTGCTGTGAGGTAGTATGTGATCTCGACTCGCCCATCAAGATCAACACGCCCATCAAGTTCAACCTGTAAACCTTTACACGAGACTCTACTGACCTCAACTTTTAAATCAGGTGTCATCCCAACCTCCAAAATCAGAAGAGGATGCCATTTATTACATACATAGACGCCGTTGAAGGCCAAGCACAACTTGCCTTTACCCAACCGAAGCATGACAGACCAGCCCGTATATGTAGAACATTTAACCACTTTAGCATCCGATTCCAAATCTGCGGACCAAACCAGGTCCAGAGTTTTGCCATTATCCAAATCAAATGCAGACAGATAACGGTACAACTGAAAGTGCCGCAGGAAATACAGAACATCATCCACAATCACAGCTAGACGAGGCAAGTTGTTAAATTTTGTTGAATCTAGAAGTGTCCAGCGTTCCTCTTCGAAGTAGTACGCAACGAAGCAAGACAACTTCATAAACTTGATTAAAATCCGTCTTTTTACAGAATCTAATTGCACCGGGCAATCTAAATATACACGACGATCAGGACCAAAACCAAGACAATCTACGAAAGGCGGCTGAGGAAATTGATCCCATGAGTTGGTAGTGGGATCAAAAACCTCACCCAAATCACCCTGACCCCCAAATACATAGATCTTAACACCAACAGTAATAGCGGACGCACGTATACGGGGACATCTCATGGAAGCAGCCTTGGTCCATCCTTCTTGGGGTCGCTTGGTGTCGACAACAAAGACATCCGCAACAGGATTGCGATACGAACCACCATGGCCCCCAAGCACATAGAGGTAAGAGCCGACAAACACGGCGGCGATGTCCTACGGTGGAATTCTGGAATCTTCATCAACAATCGGATTAGAAATTACACGCCCTTCCTTCAGATCGGCCAGGTACCATGCAAACTCCTGCTCCTTTCTACCATCTTTACTCCTGCCAATGCGAAGGTACAGGGGAATCTCAGCATCCATGAGACTAACCGTCACCAGCACAGAGAAAGGCCTCTGAGAGATGAGTTTCAGATGATGAAAAGGAAAAGGAAAAAGGCTGAATAATGGATTAGGGTTTGTTGGGTTAAATCCAATAAATAGTATATTAACTATGTGATCTATTTCAGTTAGTGTAGAAACAATTTTTTTTTTAAATGATCTATAAACTATCAATTTTGTATCAAAATTGTCTACTTGACAAATATTCATCTACTATACTAATATAATTTTTTCTAACTGTTAAGATGGTGCAACCTAATTCACCACTTGCATGCCATGTAGCCCAAAACACACGAAGCAAAGTTGTTGTAGGCAAAGCTACTTTCTAAACTATTAAAAAATGTTAAATATAATACATATATTTTTATTTTTTACAACATTTTGTTTTTGAAGTTTAAATTTTTTGTCAAATGTATTAATTAACTAAAATAAAATTTCAATTTACATTAATTAATATTTTAATTTTAATTTAAAATAATCAATATTATAATTTAAATTTTA